ACGTTCGTTTCAAACATGTGCAAGGGTTTCACGGATTGAGGGCGGGTGGTTTAGCGCGGTGCACATTCGCTTAAACGGATTGCAAGAGTTTCGCGGATTGAGGGCGGGGTGGTTTTTAACATGTGGTTCTCGCTTTAGCGCGGCGCACATTCGTTTCAAAACATTGCAAGAGCTTCACGGATTGAGGGCGGGTGGTTTTCAACATGTGGTTCTCGCCTTAGCGCGGCACACATTCGTTTTAAACATTTGCAGGAGTTTCACGGATTGAGGGCGATTCTTTTCCAGAATGTGGTTGTCGCCTTAGCGCCGCGCGCATTAATTTTAAACATTTGCAAGAGTTTCACGGATTCCCATCAACACGGTACCAGAATTTGTGTTTTGAACGGATTCGGGATTATGCGGGTGCAACAGTTATGCTGATTCGCAGTGCTAAAGTCCCAGGGATGGCGTTCTGGCACAGTTCAGAATCGTCAAGACGCAACAGTCAGGTTGATCAGTGGCGTTGGAATCCTCAGGACAATGGTTTGGCATGCTTCAGGGTATTCAAACGGTTGTCTTCCAACGAGGCAGTTCCCCCAATGGAAATGAACCGATGCAGGGGCATATGAAGAGGGAGCTTGGAGGAAGGTATATTCCAACATCGTTGGTGACTCTTGGGTTTACACTGGTCCTCGTCTTACTCTTCCTCCTGCTGCTCCTCCTCGCTCCTCCTCCCTCCTCCTCCTCCTCCTCCTCCTCCTCCTCCTCCTCCTCCTCCTCCTCCTCCTCCCCCTCCTCTTCGCTGCCATATCTCCTCATCCTCCTCCTCGCTCCCCTTTCCTCTTTGACTCCTCCTCCTCTTCGTATTCCTTCTCCTCCTCCTGATCATCCTACTCCTTCTCCCCTCCTCGATTCCCTCACCCTCCCTGTCCTCCTCGTCCTCCTCGCTCTTCGCTCCTCCCCTCCCTCTCATCTTCCCGTTCCGCCTCCCCCTCGCGCCTCCTCCTGCTGCTGCTCGCTGGTCCTCCTCCTCATCCTCCTCGCTCCTTATATTGGGAGCTTTGCTCCTCGCTCCCTGCTCCTCCTCGCTCCTCGCCCCTCGCTCCTCGCTCCTCCTCCTCCTCCTCGCTCCTCATCCTTCTCCTCCTCCTCGCTCCTCCTCCTCCTCCTCGCTCCTCCTCGCTTCTCGATCCTTCTCGCTCATCGCTTCTTGTCGCTCATCGCTTCTCGCTCCTCGCTCCTCATTCTCCTCATCTTCCTCGTCCTCTTCCTCGCTCCTCGCTCTCATTCTCCTCGATCCTCGCTCCTCGTCCTCCTCCTCCTCCGCGCTCCTTCTCCTCCCCCTCCCCCATCCTCCTCCTCGCCAAGGGCCCCAAGATGGCCCAAAAGGGCACCAAGAGGGCCCCACAACGAGGCACAGTCCGCGTAAGCTCCGCGAAAGCCCCGCGCTCGCGCGTAATCTCCTCGCGATTTGGAGGTAGCCTGAGCTGTGTTTTGAGGGGTCGCCTGGACTGCCTTGGATGCCCCAGCCCGCGTATGTTCTGCGTAAGCTCCGCGTAAGCGCGTAAGTTCGCGCGGCCCGCCCCGGCTAGTCTCTCCTCCCGCTGCTCTCTCGTTGTCTCTCTTTTTCTTTCTCCCGTGTGCAGTTTAGGCTCCTGCTTGTTAGCTGTAGCTTTTGACGGCGCGCGGCCCTTCCGTTTGTGCTCGCGAACAATAAAGTAAACGCGTAAGTCCCTCGTAAATGTTCCAGGGGGTCCAACAGGCCTCCGAGTTCGCCCAGCATGGTTCCAAGATGTTTCGCGCTGGCTTCAAAAGAACCCACCAGGACCCCACGACGACTTAAGAGGGCTCGAAGACGGCCCGGGAGTCTCACAAGACGGCCTAAGAGGGGCCCAGGACTACCCAAGGAGGAGACAAGAGCGAAGGGATTCGGGGAAAGAACAGGAAGAACAACGGATAGGCCAGTGACGTAGCATCTTCTCAAAGTAGTTACGCTTTCCGTCCCCGTATCAAGCAGGTCGAATGGCCTTCGGTCTATCCCGCCACCATGCCTTGGTTGAGGGGCTAAGGTCTTTTAGATGGTCGTTGAGATCTCGTCGAGGCCTCTCGGGGGCTTCCTGGAGGCAGTTGTTAGGCCTGGGGGGCTGTTTTGGGGCCTCTTTTGGGCCTGTTGGGGTCTCTTGGGGATCTATTGAGAGCCTCTTGGGGGCCTCTTGGGGCGTCCTGGGCGCCTTGTGAGGTGGAAGGCTCGGATTGTCAGTTCGTGCTCCCCCTCTTGGGCTCCTGTTTGGGCCGTCTTGGGGCCCTCTTGGGTCATGTTGGGCCCTTTTTCGGCCGTCTTGGGGCCCTCTTGGGGAGTCTTGGGCAGTCTTGGGGCATTTTGGAGGCCTTTGGGGCTGTCTTGAGGCCCTAGTGGGGGCCTCTCGGAACCTATCGCAGCGGCTCTCTTTGAGCAGCGTTGCGGCCTCTTGGTCTATGTTGGAGCCACCTTGGGCGTCTTTGGCCGACCGATCGGCGATCCGAGGCCCTCTTGGATCGTCTTGGGGGCCTCGTGCAGCCCTCTTCGCCCGTCTTGGAGCCCTCTTGGGCCCAAAACCATGCGACAACACACAACGACACGCGGTGAACCCCAAGAGATTGGTGAATTGCAGGTCTGGGCCCTTGAACGAATCTTGAGGATTGAGGACTCAGCCTCCACGGGATTGGGCAAGGGACCTGAGGACACTCCAACTCGTGCCTCAAGGGCACGGTGGCGGATTAATACGGGACTGTGATCAAGACTCCTCCTGCGCACAAGGCGCAAGCCGTCTCGTTCACTCCAACCCGGCCTCCCAACACACGAGTAGCACCCGAGTTTCCGTAACAAAGACAAATGCAAAGTGGTAGCGGGTCGCCCGCGCACGCTCCAGATTTCAAAGCACCATGATGTACTGCAAGTTGACGCGGCTAATTGGCTTGCGAGCAGCAGGTAATATGAGGGCACCCCCGCCGTCCTTGTCCCAAGCCAAAGCAATGTGGCCGTGGGGCGCCCGCGAATGCTCCAGCTTTAAGGCACAGTGTATTCTGTATTGTTTTTTGACTGGGATGGTTTGCTTGCGCGCAGCAAGCAATATGAGGGCGCCCCCGCCGTCCATCTCAAAAACCAATGGAAAGTGGTCGCGGGACGCCCGCGCATGCTCCAGATTTGGAGGCTAAGTGTATTTTGCATCCTCTTGTGACCTGAATTCTGTGTGTGTGTGTGTGTGGAGGGTCGGCATGGGTCTTGGCTGGCTGCCGGTTGCATGGGGGAGAGGGCTGTGATTGACAGGGGCAGTGGTCGAGACACTTCTCCCAGGCGCAAACTGCTTGGCTCACTCCCCGCCCCCCGCCTTCCCGGCGCAGGAGCAGTACCCCAGTCAGCCTCTCAGCAGATTCAGCGGCCGCCCACTGGAAACCGATGCAGAGGCCCCTGGTGCGCGACGCTGTGGCGAGGTGCGCCGCGCGTGCCCGTCGCGCCCCCGCGCACCGGGCGCGCCAGGCGAGCCTGCCGGGCTCGCCAGATGCGTCACGTGCGCCAGGTGCCCGCCTGCTCCAGCCGCATCAGTCAGGAGGGGAAGAAACACACAGACGCAATGAATCGTCGATTCCCCAGGGAAAAAAAAAGATTGGAACATATGGGAATTGGGCGGGAAGACAAACACCCAGAACATATGGGAGAATATGGGGCATCTTTTTGTTGGTGTGTATCTATTTGTGTGTCCTGGGGCCCCTTCAATCAGGTGCGCCACACTCGGGGTGGGCGCGGAGCGTGCCAGGTGCGCCCGCGCACGTCGGGAAAAACGTCGGGGCCCCCACCACCCTTGTCGACAACCAGTGGAGTGGCCATCATGATGCCTGGTGGGCCTGCACACAGCAGGCAATTTTGCCAGCACTCCCACCGCCCCTGTCAAAAAACAATTCAGAATGATCGCGGGGTGCCTGCGCAAGATCCAGATTTGGCGGCGAATTGCAGTTTGCATTGTCTTTTGACTTGGATGAGCCCCGCGATGACCAAAGATTTTGCTTTAAAGTGCATGTTGCATTGTTTCTTGACAGGGATGGCGGGGGGGGATGGCATTGTCCCAGGTTTGTCGCCGGTCCGGTGGGGGAGGGGGCGTTTACTAATATGGAGCAGTGGTAAACCCTCTCCGAAAGGGGGAAGAGGGGGGGTGAAAGAGGAACTGCTCCAAACCGCCTACGCCGTTAGGGGCTGGTGGGATTTTTCGCCTACTTCTCCATCTCTTCATCTTCCGCCTCGACCTCCATCACCTCCGATTTATGTAATCTTCCATTCTCCAGTCTGTTCCCTGCCAAACGGGGCCAGAATACCGAAGTGGAGGTCGTAAAGGTTCGTTTCTCGTGCTGGGCGACTGGGGCTGGAACGAGCTTGTACACGGAGATTCTCCTGCTCTCTTGCAGCTGGATGGGAATCTGATGAGGAGGGAAATGTGGACACGGCGGAGGACCAAGAATAGGAGGAATGGGTTGGAGCATGAAAGAGGAGGAGTCGGAGGAGAAGGATGAGGATGCAGGAAGAGGATGAGGATTGAATGAGGATTGGATGATGAGGAATGTCGGGCGATTGCGGGAGGGTGAAGAGGAGGAGTGTGAGGTGCAGGATCATGAACGCGATCTGCGACCCCTTCTCCAGCGGCAGGCCACAGGGCGTCGCCAGCTTTTACGGGGCCGTGTGGTGATGACGATGACGATGACGATGACGATGACGATGACGATGACGATGTCATCATCGTCGTGGTCATGGCCATGGTCATAGTCATGGTCATCGTCATCGTCATCGCCATCGTCGCCATCGTCACTCCTTCAACACCTCGGATGTTGCACGCCTGGCCTCTGCGCGCAAACAGATGCGAGGCGACGTCGCAGCGCCACATCCGAGCCCTCCTCGCAAAGGAGGCCCGCCGCGGCGGAGGGGCCCGCGGCCCCCTCCGCCCATGCGCGCCGGGGCGCCCGCGGAAGCGGAGGCCCCCCCCGAGCTCGCCGAGGCGCACGGGGCCCCCCCGAGCCGACGAGGCGGCACTGCCCCGCGAAAACGACGCGAAGATCGGGACGAAATCGGATCGGGATAACTCGAAATCTCTGGGAATCGGCGGGTTTGGAGGATGTGTTGGGCGCCGCGGCCGCTCCAGAGCGTTCCGGAACGCTCTGAGAGCGCTCCGGAACGCTCTGGAGCGATTTGTCCCGATCCTGGCCCTGTTTTACCCGCCGCAGCGCGGCAGAGGCCTGCAGAGCCGGCGCTCCCAGCAGAGGCGGGAGCGGCGGGGCGTGGGCAGTCGTCGGCGGCTCTCGGCCTCCTGGGGGCCCTCGCTGGGCCTCTGGTGAGTACCGCTCATCCGATCCCCATCCCCAGCGGCGTGGCCTGGGCCCCACTGGCCGACTGACCCCCCCCCCAGATGGGGATACAGGCCGTTCCCGTCGGGCTTCGAGGGGTGCATCCCCAGATTGAGGGGGGAGTTTTGGGGGGCGGTCCCGAGGGTGATGGGGACGGGGCTGGGGATCGGATACAGGATGCTGCTTTGGGAGCGTCCGCTAGAGCATGCAGGCGGAGAGGAACGGGCCCCGCGGCATGGGTCCGGACCCCCCGATGGGGGCCCGCGCATCCGGCAGCGTTTGGCGCGGCGGCCGGGTGACCAGTGGAGGCGGCGGCCGCACGCGCGCTCGGGCCCGCGCGGTGGCGGCACCGCGAGCCGCCGGCAGCCAGAGTGGACACAGCAGGCGGGAGCCTCGAGACGGGGGTCAACGCAAACGGGGGTCAGCCAGGGCACCAGATCCTGTAGGGTCCTGCGAAGGCCCCCCTCTGGCTGACCCGGGTTCGCGAGCCCCTCGTGGCCGCGAGGGCGGCCGCGCATATATTGGCTGACCCGGGGTTGCGAGGATTGCGTTGCAGTTTTTTTTCATGCCTTGCAGTTTCTTGGTTTCTTGCTGACCCGGGTTTGGATTGACCCGTGTCAGAAGATCTCAGGAGGAGAAGAAACACACAGACACAATTCATCCTCGATTTCCCAGAAAATATGGGAAAATATGGGAAGTGGGGGGGAAGACAAAAACCCAGAAAATATTGGAAAACATGGGGGATCCTTTTATTTGTGTGTATTTATCTGTGTGTCTCAGGGCCCCTTCGAGATCCCCGAAACAAAACATGGGGGTCAGGAGCGGCCGCGGGAGAGAGGAGGCGACCGAGCGAGACCTGGCGACATCGTGCCTCGGGGGTGGTCAGACACCCCCCACCCCGACGCGCCGGTCAAGTCGTGAGGTGTCCGTGCTCCAGTCTCGAGGGGGCGCCGCGGCCGTCCTTTCGGGGAAACGCAAGACCCGAGTAAGCCAGAACTCGGGTTTGCTTACGCTTTTTTGACGAGCGCGTCCTGGATTTTGACGGTCCAGTTTTCGTGGGATGTCTGCAGCGGGAGCTCGCGTCAAATTTGAGATTGTGCCTCGTCATTTTTACGAGGGCCCCGTCGGGCTAGCCCGAGTCCCCCGCACCCGAGTCTTACGTCTCCCCGATCCTTGTCCAGGCCTGCGGCCGCCAGGTCTGGGGCCCGAGGTCGCTTGCTTGCACCGAGCCACGTTTTACGAAAAGAGGGGGGTTCTGTTCATCCCCGGGTCATCACTAACGAGCAATGTTCTGAGAACCTCTTGTGGTTCTCGCGAACTGTTCTTAGAACATGTCTGGCTGGGACGGTCTTGTTTTATCACCTCGGGCTTCCGTGGTAAGAACACTGTTTTTGTTGTTAGAACATTCTTGGGCTCTGGGAGCATGTCGTGGTAGAGCTATAGGAATGCCAGGACGGTCGGCCCCTGCGGACCAGAGCCCCGAGGCCCCATCTTTCTCTGCGCCCACTGTCGCGAGGCGGGTGGAGCCCCGTGCGGGCCCCGGGGCCCGGAGCTGGACGAGAGCTCGGGAGCCTCGAGACGGGGGTCAACGCGAACGGGGGTCAGCCAGGGCACCGGATCCTGCAGGATCCTGCGAAGATCCCCTCTGGCTGACCCAGGGTTAGCGAGCCGCTCGTGGCCGCGAGGCGGCCGCGCATATATTGGCTGACCTGGGTTTGCGAAGACCTGCGTGGCAGCTTTTTTGTCCCTGGCATTGCAGCTTTTTGCTTTCCTGCTGTCCCGGGTCTGGGGTGACCCGGGTCAGAAGATCCCCGGAGAGCGCCCGCGGTGCGCGACGCCGGGAGCCCGGGGGTGGCCCGCGGGGCGGGGCCAGGATTGGGTCGGGCATATCTCAGGAGGGAAAAAAGCACACAGACACAATTGATCGTCGACCCCCCAGAAAATATGGGAGAATATGGGAAGTGGGGGGGAAGACAAAAACCCAGAAAAATATGGGAAAAGATGGGGAATCTTTCTATCGGTGTGTACTTATTTGTGTGTCCTGGGGCTCCTTCAATATCCCTCTGCAGGAGGGACAAATTCAGCATTGCGCATGTGTTGGATGGCATGTCTTTCGTGCTCCTTTGAATCTGCTTGAGCACCCCTTGGTCGTGGTCCATTTTGTTCTTCCAGCGTCCGCCTGTGGGAGGCCGTGCCCGACCGAGGATCCATGGGGGGATGCTTGTCCTCTTCCGGCCCTGTCCTCGTCCTGGCTTCGCTCCCCGGGGCCCGGGCGCCCGCCCTCGTCCCGGACGCACGCCGCCGGGCGTGTGGGGCCTCGCCCTCTTGCCCCCCCCTCCCCCCCAATCGCGGCGGGAGGCGCCGCGTGCGAGCTGCGCGGCGTCCCGGGCCGAGCGGGGGGGCGGTCGCGCCGCCGTTGGCGCGGGCTCGGCGATTTCTCGGCTGCGAGCCCCGGGGGGGGAGTGAGAAAGGAAGTGAGGAAGCGGAAGTCCCCCAGCCTGCTGGACAGTTCTTGAAGCCTTCCCCGACGACACCGAGAACCTTTGAGAAGGCGCGAGGGTCTGTGAGAAGTCCCGCGGCCTTCTGAAAAAGGCCTCCTCCTTCTCACTTCCTCCCCTCGCTCGCCGCCGAAATTCACCAGCCCCCTGGGCTGCTGGAGCGCACGGGAGGTGTAAAATGAACGCCCCGACGGGGTGCATGCACAGGCGCCCCACTGTTTTTTGTAACGTGGCTCCCTTGATGAGGGTCAAGACGTGAGTACCGCGACCGGACTGGGTCACACAGAGGCGAAACGGCCCAAGAAGGCGTGAGCAGAGGTGGGCTTGAGGCCTCTTGGACGTTTGTCGAGATCTCGTCGCGGCCTGTCGGGGACCTCCTGGAGGTAGTTCTGAGGCCTCCAGGGGGCGCCCTGGGCTTCTGGAGCGCACGGGAGGTTGCTGTACCTTCTGGCGCGTAGTGGCCGCTACCAGGACCAAGCCCCTTCACCCCCTCCCCTTGGGTAATGGTATCGATCGCACGTCGGGTTGGAGTCCTGGCGCGAAAACGACGGCGACCGCAGCGCACTCCCGCCCCGACGTGCCCCCCCCCCCCCCCGGCGTTACCGTTGCCCGGGGCCCCAAACCCCTCCCCTGCCCTCGGGTAGCGACCACTACTGGAAACAACTCAGAATTGTCCTGGCGCAGGGCCCAACAGTTTTCAGCTGTGAGCACTGCGCTGTGGGTACCGCTTTTGGTGGAGCTCCCTTTGGTGCCACCACACGTGTGATGGGTGTGCTGAAAGGGCTGCGGTGTTGCCGTGCCCGTGCAGCCGTGTGGCCCTCGGTGGAGCTGCCTATGGGGCCACGAAGCGTGTGAGTGTGTGCCAAAATTGCGGCGGTAGCGCCATGCGAGCGCAGCCACTGGACCACTCGGTGGAGCTTCTTAGGGCCACGAAAACGTGTGAGAAGTGCGCCGAGAGGGGCGCGGGTTGCCATGAGAGCGCAGCCACTCTGGCCCTCGTTGGAGCTTCTTATGGGGCCACAAAACGTGTGAGGGTATGCCGAAATAGGCGCGGTGGCCCCCATGCGAGCGCAGCCACTGGGACCTCCTCTTATGAGGGCCGAGAAACGAGTGAGAGGTGGTGCCGAGTGGGGCGCGGGGTTGCCAAGAGAGCACCGCCGGGCCTTCGTTGGAGGGAACGAACCGTGTGAGGGTGTGCCGACTTGAGCGCGGTGGTGCCATGCGAGCTCTCGGTGGAGCTTCTTATGGGGTCACGAAACGTGTGTGAGCGTCGTGCGGACATGGGTGCGGTGGTGCCATGCGAGTGCAGCCATTGGGCCTTCGGTGGAGCCTCTTATGTGGCCACGACGCGTGTGAAGGGTACGCTGACATGGTGGGTGGGCGCGGTGGGTCCCATGCGAGCGCAGCCACTGGGGCCTTCGTGGAGCCTTTTTGGAGCCCACGAAGCGTGTGGGGGGGTGTGCCGAGTGGGGCTCGGCGGTGCCACACGCGAGCGCAGCCACTGGGGCCCTCGGTGGAGCTCCCTTTGGGGCCACGAACTGTGTGAGTGGTGTGCAAGTGGTTGACATGCGGAGAGCAGAGGCAGGAAGGGAGGAGGAAGAGGGAAGAGGAGAGGGAGAGACGCCAGGCGCTGTCTTTTTTTTTTTTTTTTTTTTTTTTTTTGTTTTTTTTTTTTTTTTTTTTTTTTATTATTTTTTCTTTTTTTCAAAGCGAGGGCCCAACACCACAGGATGGTTGGGAACACTGTCCGAAGGAGCTGCTTCGGTGCTTCGGTGACGCTCGAAGAACAACAATGGCATAGGCATACTTCCTCGGACGTCCGCGCGGATTTCTCTAATCGGCGTTAGGCCCCCTGGCGGCGCCTCTGGCGCCGCCCCTGGCGCGCGCCAGGGAGGGAAAGGGTCAGCGCCGATCCAAAAATCCGCGCGGACCTCAGTGAAATTATGTGTATGCAGTGTTCTGTTTCGACCGGTGTGGGGGGTGGGATGGAAGAGGAAAGGCGCAGGAGGAGATGGAGAAGGAGGCGGAAGAGGAGAAGGATGAGGAGGAAGAGGAGGAGGAGTGGCATCGTAGCAGTAGCTCTTTCCTCTTTGGAGCGAAGGGGGGGAACGGGATAGGAGGAGGGTGAGGCGGACGAGGAGGTGGGACCGAGCGGCCACCCGAAGGAAACTCGCGCGTTCAATAGCAGACTTCTTGTAGAGCTTGTTCTTGCTATCTTGCCGAATTGCCTGGCCCAAGGAAATCTCTTCAACTCGCACTGCCAGAGGGCCATCGCGACTGCGATGCTGGACAAGATGCAGGACGGCGATGTGCAAGCTCGGCTGCAGAGGCAGGGCAAAGAGGGTGCTAAGGGAACTTGTCGGGGGCTGGAAATATGCTGCACGAGGATGAGAGAGGAGGCAGAGGAAGGAAAGGTGGAGAAGAAAAGGGAGGGGGAGAAGGCTGAGGAGGAGGCGGAGGGGAAGAGGAGCAATATGCATCATAAGAAGCACAAGGAGAAACAGGAAGAGGGAACATGCGGAGGATGGGCGGATTAGTAATTGGAGGGTGAAAGAAGGGGTCTGCAACAAGGGGGTCTGCGATGGGGACTGAATGGCCCATGTATGCTCAACCTATCGCTCATGTATGTGATCGGTACGATTGGCATCTAATGTTGGCGGGCATGGAAGGCCAGTCGTTCGTGCCCGCGCGTTGCCCGCGCGGGAAATCGCGCCGTGCATCCATGATCGTTCATGCGTGTGGGCGTTCTTGCACATCGCGCGTGAGGCGGCGAAGTGGAGTGCAAGTGTGTCTTGATGGTGCGATTGAGGATCGCGCATGTTCCCAAACGATGGCTTGTCGACCCATAAGGCAGATCTGGAATGGATCCCGCGATTCTCCCAACATGTGAACTCACGTTTCCTTTTTTTCCAAGCTGTGAATTCACATTTTCCTTTTTCCCAAACTGTGAATTTATTCTGGCCCTTTTCATAAAGAACCCGATGCAACATTCTAAAATCTGAATTCGCATTTTCTTTGTCCAAGACGTGAAATCACGTCTTCCCTTTTTCCCAAAGTGTGAATTCTTCTTTTGATTTCCCCCACACTGTTGACTCACATGTTGCCCTGGCGTCAATATCCCCCAAGCTGAGGCGCAGTGTTCCGCATGTCAGATTGGCTGGGCAGATGTGCGGCATCCACCCCGCCGCTTTTATTCGAACCTTTTGTTCTTGCGCCCTCAGCACACGTTGCCTTCGTCGCTTTTCACCAGCCCACCGACCCCTTGCTTCGTTTACCATCAAGTTTCGCGCACGGCTGCAGGCGGGGAGTTTCAATTGGTTCCCGCGCCGAACACAGCAGTCGAGGATGTATCGCCCATGCGTGGCCCATACAGACACCATTGCCGGGACCCTGCGCCCGACCCTCACATTCACTTTCCAAAGTTCTGGGGTGGTGGTGGTGAGGGAAGGGGGGATAGGGTCAAGCTAGGTTGCGATCGCGCCACGCCTGACACCCTCCCACCCACTCTTCCCTATTCAGTTGAATCGTCTTCTCTCTGCCGCGAAGGGTTTCCTAGAATATCTTGATCCCCGGATGGCTCTTGTAGGATTGGACCCATCGTATGATGCGCCATCAGCGAGGAGGGCATCGGTGCCGTGGAGGAGGCGGACGACGAACATCAGCGAGCCGAGGGGGGGGAACAGGGGGCAAGCTGAGCAGGGGAACTAAGGCGGACGGCATCGACGAGAAAGGAGGCGGATCCAGAAGCAAGGCCCGCGCTGGGGCTTTTCTACAGTGTGCAAGCCCTGAAGCGGGAACGTAGTTCTGAGGGGCCGCAGGCGTTCCAATTGGAACGCGCACAGGAGTCATGACAGCACGATCGCACGGGATGTGCGTCTGAGGGTGTCGCCTTGCCCGTCGCCTTTCTCCCCCATCTTCCTCCCCCGCTAATATCAGTCGGCGGCGGCCATGGGGGCGAGTACCCCGGGGGGGTAGGTAATGCGTGTATTCAATGGCACCGGTGGCCCATGTTTTCGACGAGGTTTCAACGCGGATGCGCGTAACACCCGCCTCTTGGGCTACATCCCCAGGACGGAAGTTGTTTCCTTTCGGGCCCGGAAAAAGACGGTTTCAAATCAGGCACGGACACGCGTCAGAGGAACGGTGGCGGTCCAATTAAGTTTGCGCGGATCCGATTGTGGCGTTGATCCGTGTTGCGGTGGATCCGATTTCTGTCTGCGCGGATCCGATTTCGGTTTGTTTCGGGCTCCGCACCCCGTCCCACTTCTTACGGCGGGTCCCTCTTCTACCTTGTTTTATATTGTTACACGCGACAGGGAACCGATCGAACTCGGATCCACGGGCTCCTGGCCCGCCCGTGTTAAGATTCTACGGGGGAGGGGGGGTTCGGTCGTCAACGTCCCAGGATGGGTCCTGCGTTGCCTCGCGCACACCCAGTCAACGCGGATACATCTCGCTCCTCCCGGTTGCTGCAAAGAGCTGGTCCAGACGTCGTCCTTTCGGCGGCGCCGATGTTATCTCGCGAACCCATCGCCATTTTCCTCTGCAAGGGGGGAACTCCACTGATCGTCGCCGCCGAATCGGCAGGGCTTGGCTGGGGCCCCTGCCTTCCCCGTCGCTTTTTCCCTTTTGGACGGAGTGCCGACCGCTGCCCTGCTTAGCTGCCGCGGGGCGCCCGGTGTGAAACGCAACGCGTACCGTGCTGAAAGCGTCCGTGTCAATACGTTGCGTGTTGTCTCAGCGCATTGGCCCACGTTTTGGCGAACGCATCGCATCATACCTACCGGCGGCGAGCGAGGGGGGGGGGAGTGAGAAGGAGAAGGCCTCTTCAGAAGGCTCGGAAGTTCTCCGGCTTTTGGAGAAGTTTTGTTTAAAAGTTTTCCCCGAAGGCACGAACAATTTCTCAGAAGGCGCGAGGACTTCTAAGAAGTCCCGCGGCCTTATGAGAAGGCCTTCTCGTTCTCACTTCCCCCCCTCGCTCGCCGCCGAACGCCTATGTTCTCAGTTTACGCTACGTGTTGCGAGCTGCGTATCGGGGCAGCTTTGAGCTACCCCTCCCCCCCTTTGCGAAGGGCGGGGCCGCGCCGCACACGGGCGCAGATATCGTGCGGGGCGGACCGCCCGCGGGTTGGGTTGCCCCCCCAGCAGGTTTGAGTCGGGCATGTCTCTCTGCAGGAGGAATACCCAAGAAGTGTGAAAAAATAGTCTGGTGACGATTTTTCGTGCTCTTTTCATGATTCGCATTTTTGCTTCATGAACAATGTCAAAACATAGTATGGTGACGATGTTCCGTGCTCTCCTCAGTATCCGTATTTTTTAACGCATTTCAAAAACATGGTCTTCCGAGCCCGGCCTGCAGGAGGACATGCCCGACCTAACCCGAGGTCGGTGAACGGCCCAGCGCGTCACGCTTGCCGGGCAGCCCATTCTCTAGGCCGCCCAGGGGGGTCGGAGCAGATGGGCTGCGTTTCCGTACGGGGACGGTGTGTTCGGGCTCAAGGGGGGCACGAGCTTGACGTACGACGAGTGGTGCCGGTGCTCGATGGCGCGCGAGGAGCTCCTGCACGAGGTGTATGAGGATGTCGCACCGCACCGCCGATGCATCGGCGATGCGCCTCGATGTGGAGCCCGGACTTCTCGACGTGGACGTCGCCGCTGCGTCGCCGACGTTGCCGATGCTTCGGCGATGCGTCGGCGATGCGACGCGACCTTCCGACCTCATTTGTTCCAGTCCACTCTGTGAGGCCTCTGTGGAAGAAGGGGGGGGCCACGGTCGGGAGCGTGTGCCTGGCGTGTCGCGCCACCCGTTTCGGCGCGATTCGCAAAGCACGGCCCAGTCTCTCAGCATCAAAGTTCCGAGCCTTTCTCGGCCTCCATCCCACGAAGGAGGAGGAGGAGGAGGAGGATTTCTCGGCCTCCCATCCCACGAAGCAGAGCGTCACGCCACCCGTCTGCAGGGCCTCACGGTGTCGCGGGGGCCGTCGCCGCGGCGCGCCGAGCAAAAAGAACTACCTGGCCGTATGGTTGCGAGGGGGTTTGACAAGGATATGATCAGATTAGCTCGGTAGCAAGTCATGGGAGCCTGGTGTACCATTTCAATTCCGTCTTGAGCGTCGGTTAGCGTCGATTAGCGTCTGGGGGTCCATGAGAGAACGCCGATTTAGCGTCAGTTAGCGTCGGTTAGCGTCGATTTAGCGTCGATTAGCGTCGACTAGAGTCGATTAGCGTCGATTCGCAAGAGCCGACAAGATGGCATGGGAGGCTCCCATGAGTTGCCACCGAAGTTTGGTGTTCAACCCTCGGTTTGCGATTGCCGATTGTCTGTATGATGTCGCCTTCGTACAGACGGCCGTTGCATCGTGTCGCGGGGTGGAGGGGCTGCAGCGGCGCTTCGTGCCGTTCGCGTGCGACGGCACGGGCATCATTTTTTCTATGTTATCCGCACCTAGCTCCACCTTCTCCCCTTTCGCCTTCTCCTCTTTCCTCCTCCTTCCTCGTCACCTTTGTTCGAGGAGCTCGGCGATGTCAAGTTCATCATCAACGTCGGCGATTCCTTTTACCCTCACGGAGTCGAGAGCAGGTGGGCACCCACGCGCCGTCGCGCGCTCATCAGCAGCACAAGAGATAAGGCGGAGGAGGAGGGGCGACTTCCTTGCGCCCTGCCGGAACCCGGAGCAGGTGGGCGCAGCTTTCCCGGCATTGCCCGCGCGGCCGTCGCGCGCTGACTCTCCTGAGTGCATTTCATATCCTCCTCATTTCTGTACCTCTCCTCAACATGCTGCCTCTCCTTCTCGAAGAGTAACTCCTGCCTGCAATGTCGAGGGTCGTCCTTTTAGGCTGTTTGTCGTGAGTGGCTGGATTCGGTTTGTTTTTTCTCTGCGGCCAAGTGATGGCGTTCTCTTTTGAATTCCCCGTGGGCGTCGGTCGTGTGCACATATGTGGGTGATGGGTTCACAGTAGGTAGTCATCAGTCAAAGTTTCATTCAGGGCTGGGGATTTGGCTTTGCGGCACTTTTCTCCAATCAGTGAATGCCTCTGTAGGGGTCCTAGCGGAGTCTCAAGGGTTAGGATTTGTGCGGCGGAATTTCGGTGGCATGTTGCCGGGTGCCCGGGTGCCCGTGGGTCGTCCGTGCCCCAGGATTTCGGTGGCCGGTGGCCGGGTGCCTGGGTGCCCGGGTGCCCGTGGGTGCCCGGTGCCCCAGGGTTTCGGTGGCTGGTGGCCGGGTGCCCGGGTGCCCGTGGGTGCCCGGGTGCCCGGTAGCCATATAGTCCTATAGCCCTATAGTCCTATAGCCCTATAGCCCTATAGCCGAATAGCCCTATAGTCCCATAGCCCCATAGCCCCAACAAAAATCTGATTGGGGTTCGTCTCCGGTATCATTGGGAGTGTTGCTGTGCAGCATCTAGGTAGTCTCAGGGACAAGTGATTTGGGTCTGCCACTGCGGTGGCCGCAGAGGTTACGTAACGAATATATATATATATATATATATATATATATATATATATATCCCTGGGGGCGAGGCCGGGGGCCCCAGGACAGATGCCCCCACCCCCCATGGTGGGACGGGGGCTCATTTTCCTTGTTTTTTTACAGGGTTTCCGCGTCCTGGGCCTCGGAGGCCGCCGCCTCCAACCCCCCATGGGAGGACGGGGCGGCCGGGGAGGTCCAAAATAGTCCAGGAGGGCATCCAGAGGCTCCCAAGACGGCCCAAGCGGGCCCCGAGTCGCCGAAAGACCGCTCCAGGACGCCCAAGATAGGCTCAAGACGGCCCGAGAGGCCCCCCAAGGCACTCCACGACGCTTCAAGACGCCTCTCCAAAGCGCTTCAAGAGGCCGAAATCGTTTATTTTACGAAAATTTTGGACACGTTTTGCTTTTCCCGCCTTCTCAGCTTTCCGACGCTCCACGACGGCTCAAAGGCCCCCCGCGGACGCCCCAAGAGAGCCCAAGAGGCCTCCAAGAGGGGCTCAAGACGGCTCTGGAGGGCCCCAAGACGGCCCAAAACGCGCTCAAGACGGGCGAAGAGAGCCCCAAGACGGCCCCAAGAGGGCTCCAAGAGGGGAACTGCGAACCGGAAATTCGAGCCTCCCGCCTCCACAGGGCCCCGGGAGGCCCCAGGAGACCCCCAAGAAGCACCCATGGAGGCCCAAATGAGGCTTCAAGAGGCTCCCAAACAGCCCCGAAGAACCCCCCGTGGGAGGACGGGGCGGTCGAGGAGGTCCAAAATAGTCCAGAGCGGCCTCCAGAGGCTCCCAAGACGGCCCAAGCGGGCCCCGAGTCGCCGAAAGACCGCTCCAGGATGCCCAAGATAGGCCCAAGACGGCCCGAGAGGCCCCCAAAAGCACTCCACGACGCTTCAAGACGCCTCTCCACAGCGCTTCAAGAGGCCGAAATCGTCAATTTCACGGAGGTTTTCGAACGATTTTGGCCTTCCAGCCTTTTCGGCTGTCCGACGTTCCAAGACGGCTCAATAGGCCCCCAAGAGCGCCCCAAGACGGCCCAAGAGAGCCCCAAGACGGCCCCAGAGTCGCCCAAGACAGCCCAACAGAGCCGTCTTCAGGCCCTCTTGGAGGCCTCTTGGGCTGTCTTGGGGCGTCCGCGGGGGGCCTGTGAGCCGTCGTGGAGCGTCGCAAAGCTGAAAACCATGAGGCCTCTGACCCACCACCCAGGGCACTGGCGGGAGCAGTGACAGCACATGTGCACAGCATGTTCCGGCGGGAGCCTTCCAGAACACGTTGCAGGGGGAGGAGGAAGATCAGGAGGAGAGAGAGAGCTGGAGTGGGAGGAGGAGGAGGGGGACGAGGAGGAGGAAGAGGCCTCCAAGACAGCTCCAAGATAGCCCTTCCAAGAGGGCCCTGGGCGGCCCACGAGGGCCCCAAGGCGGTGCCTGAGGCGCCCAAGAAGGCCCGAGAGGGCCCCAAGACAGCCCCAAGAGAGGCCCAAGAAGGGAAACACGAACTGAGAATCCGAGCTTTCTACCCCGAGAGGTTCTCGGGAAGTCCCAAGATGCCCCCCAAGAAGCTCCCAAGAGGGCCGACGAGGTTCCAAGAGATCTCCCAAAGTGGCCCCAAGAGGCACAACTCATTGTTTTACGATTGGGCTTTGACGGGTTTGAATTTTTTCAGCCTTTTGGCATCCCGATGCTCCAAGACGGCCCAAGAGGCTTCCAATACCGCTCCAATATAGAGGAAGAGGCCTCCAAGAGGGCCCCAAGACGGCCCGCGAGGGCCCCGAGACGGTGCTTGAGGTGCCCAAGACGGCCCGAGAGGGCCCCAAGAGCCCCAAGAGAGGCCCAAGACGGGGAACGCGACCCAACAGCAGAGCGTTCCCCCCAAAAGGCCCACATGAGGCCGCAAGAGGACCCCAAAAGCTTCCCGAGGGCCCAAAAGGCCCCCAGGAGACGTCCAAGAGGTTCCAAAATAGCCCAAGAGTGCCCTCGATGCGTCAAAACTGCTTCCAGGAGGCCCCCGGGAGGCTTCCGGATTGCCTCAATCTGGCCGCAGACGTGCACGACGCCCGGGCGCCCAGGGCGGCTGCCCCGAGGGGGCATGGGAGTACTGGGGCTCATTTTCCATGTGTTTTTAGAGGGTTTCCGCGTCCTGGGCCTCGGAGGCCGCCGCCTCCGACCCCCCGTGGGAGGACGGGGCGGCCGGGGAGGTCCAAAATAGTTCAGGAGGGCCTCCAGAGGCTCCCAAGACGGCCCAAGCGGGCCCCGAGTCGCCGAAAGACCGCTCCAGGACGCCCAAGATAGGCCCAAGACGGCCCGAGAGGCCCCCCAAGGCACTCCACGACGCTTCAAGACGCCTCTCCACAGCGCTTCAAGAGGCCGAAATCGTCAATTTCACGGAGGTTTTCGAACGATTTTGGCCTTCCAGCCTTTTCGGCTGTCCGACGTTCCAAGACGGCTCAATAGGCCCAAGAGCGCCCCAAGACGGTCCAAGAGAGCCCCAAGACGGCCCCAGAGTCGCCCAAGACAGCCCAACAGAGTCCCAAGACAGCCCCAAGATGTGCCCAAGAGGGGGACCACGACTCCAACATTCGACCCTCCCGCTTGAAGAGTGCCCCAGGAGGCCCCAAGGAGCCCCCAAGAGGCTGCAGGAGGCCCCCAAGAGGCACCCAGGAGGCCCAAACGAGGCCTAAAGAGGCCACAAAACAGCTCCGAGGAGGCCCCACAACGGTCCCAAAACGGCTACCGAGAGGCTGCGAAACTGCCTTCACGACGTCCCCGACAGGCCAAGCACGAGATCCAAACCAACACCCATGAGGCCTCTGACCCACCACCCAGGGCACTATGGCGGGAGCAGTGACAGCACTTGTGCACAGCATGTTCCGGCGGGAGCTTTCCGGAACACGCTGCAGGGGGAGGAGGAAGATCAGGAGGAGAGAGAGCTGGAGTGGGAGGAGGAGGAGGGGGACGAGGGGGAGGAAGAGGCCTCCAAGACAGCTCCAAGATAGCCGAAGAGGCTTCCCAGAGGGCCCTGGGCGGCCCACGAGGGCCCCAAGGCGGTGCCTGAGGCGCCCAAGAAGGCCCGAGAGGGCCCCAAGACGGCCCCAAGAGAGGCCCAAGAAGGGAAACACGAACTGAGAATCCGAGCTTTCTACCCCGAGAGGTTCTCGGGAAGTCCCAAGAGGCCCCCCAAGAAGCTCCCAAGAGGGCCGACGAGGTTCCAAGAGATCTCCCAAGGTGGCCCCAAGAGGCACAACTCATTGTTTTACGATTGGGTTTTGACGTTTTTGAATTTTTTCGGCCTTTTGGCATCCCGATGCTCCAAGACGGCCCAAGAGGCTTCCAATACCGCTCCAATATAGAGGAAGAGGCCTCCAAGAGGGCCCCAAGACGGCCCGCGAGGGCCCCAAGACGGTGCTTGAGGCGCCCAAGACGGCCCGAGAGGGCCCCAAGAGCCCCAAGAGAGGCCCAAGAAGGGGAACGCGACCCAACAGCAGAGCGTTCCCCCCGAAAGGCCCACATGAGGCCGCAAGAGGACCCCAAAAGCTTCCCGCGGGCCCAAAAGGCCCCTAGGAGACGTCCGAGAGGTTTCAAAATAGCCCAAGAGTGCCCTCGATGCGTCAAAACTGCTTCCAGGAAGCCCCCGGGAGGCTTCCGGATTGCCTCAATCTGGCCGCAGGTGGCCTCAAGTCGGGCCTCCACGCAGCAAGGACGGCCAATGGCGGCTTCAGATTACAGAACCGATGCCCCCAAGGGACCCGCAGACGCCCCCCCCAAGAGGCACCCAAGAGGTGCCTCCAACAGCCAGTTGACAAAGCATGCGGAACACCCCAGAAGCTCCTCAGATGCCGTCGCGCCCCTGTGCTTGATAGCGTTGTCCAAGATCGTCCAGCGCCCCCCCGGCCTGGGCTAGAACCTGAGCGCGCGCGAAGCGCGCGCGATGGTTCTAGTATATATATATATATATATACATACATATATCAAGGCAAATGGCCTAAGGCCTAACACGCAGTTGAGAGACGAGCCGCGGCACGCTCGAAAGTGTGAGTTTCAGTGGCTTTAGTTTTGTAACCGTCATAGATACAGCAGCATCCGTCACTCCGCAACTCCTCCTCCTCCTCCTCCTCCTTCC